CCACGTAACACACAAAAAAAATTGATGTTTAACTGTGTTTTTTTTATTTACTTCTAAATTAAGAAATTGAGTAATGTATAATACTAAAATTTGAATTATAATCTACAGTTTGATACCAAACATATTGACATAAATTCATGAAAAAGTAGTTGAATAAAATTTTGAATGCGTGTCAGCAAATGCAATGACATGGCCTTTCACCTGTGACCCATCTGGAAAGGTTTAGCAGACTTAGTGCTTCAACTTTATGTACATTTTAAAAGATTATGAAACACAAAATGTAGAATTGTCTCTCTATGGACCAAACATCAGTTCCCACCAACCCCTTTTCTAGTTTTATGTGTATTTTTAGAGTTTAAATCAAGATTGCTTAGATGCACTCAGAAGCCATTATTTTGGGATTTCTCCTTTTTTGATCATTTGAATATAAAAATTAGACTAAAAATAAAATCCAAGGTATATTTTAAAAAAAGGCTAACTTGCTTTAGTGATACTTTTAAAAATAGTAATTGGTAATGGGTAGAGAAGCCCCCCTCCTCTCCCCCCCATTTTCCTGAGAGGATATTTATAACTCGGAAGAAATAGTAGAAATAAAATGACTCTTATTAACTGTGCTGAAAGTCAGTAATGTACTAAATAATGTCACGTGCTTAGTTTCTTTCAACTTGGATAAAGGGCCAACAATGTAATGTTAACATATTCTTTAAACAGACTACAGGAAATTTTTTTTTAAACATGTTTTATTAAGTGCTATTTCGTGTATTGTTTAACAGTTGTATAGATATAATCAAACAAGCACGATTTATATAATATTTTTATTATTGTTAACTGAAAAAACCTTATTATTTGAAGGAATTGAACAAAGTTTTCACATGTAAAACTATAAATCAAGCTGAAAGCTTATCCTTTTTCAAAAAGTATTATAATTAAATTCTTTAATCAGTATTCAGATCACAGGTTTTGATGATGTGAAATTTGAGACAGCCAGTGTTTTAGGTGACCTGTATGAGAAAAAGGTAAGAAAATCTTTTTAGAAAGTTAACTTTTGCAAATACATTTTCATAATAATGGAATACCTGTACAATATACATTTATATACTCATATTGAGATACAATTGTGGTGATGAAATTAATGCTTGAAAGTATATGATAACAAAAGTAAATGAACTAGATATTACTTATTGTTTAAAGTTTCAAGTTTTGCAACAAATAATATTATGGTATACTTACATTTTGAATAGCCAAAAAAAAAATCTTACTTTTTTGGGTAAAAATTTTTTTTTTGTCAAACATTAACATAACATAATATTTTGGGACAACATGGGACCTATTGGTCCATCTTGGCTGTTCCATCCTCAGAACTAAATTAAAATAACTAAAACAATAAAATAAAAAATTTTAAACCCAGCCCTTTTCATTCATATACTTATCAAGCTTAAAGTTAAAGTTACTGCCTCTACGAACATCTGAAGGCAACCCATTCCAAAGGCCAACCACCCTGTTAGAAAAAATGAAACTGTCTTAGCTGAAGATGACTCTTACCTTGACAAAATTTATATTTGTCTCCCCTAGTCCTACTATTCTCACTGATAAATATGAAAAAAAATGATGCGTCAACACTATCAATTCCCTTTACAATCTTAAACACCTCAATCAGATCCCCCTAACTCTCAAGAGAAAACAATTTGAGAGATTTCAACCTCTGCTCTTATGACAACCCCTCCATCCCAGGCACCATTCTAGTAACCCTTCTCTGAACTCTTTCCATCAATTCAATGTCCTTCCTAAGGTAAGGAACCCAAGACTAAACATAATATTCCAAATGTGGCCTAACCAGTGACCTGTACAATGAAATTATAACCTTTTTAGACTTGTATTCAATATTTCTATAGATACAACCTAAAACCCTATTTGCCTTACCACTAGCAACAGCACACTGCTTGGATGGCTTTAGAGACTGACCGACTACAACATCAAGATCCCTTTCCTTCATAACACTATTAAGGTTATTCCCATCCAAATCAATACTTATAATT